ATGGAAATGAACTTTTAGCGCACGGTGCTGATGTATTAAGCCGTATTAATATGGAAATGAACTTTTAGTGCACGGTGCTGATGTAAGCCGTATTAATAGGGAAATGAACTTTTCAACCTTGACAGGTGCGGGCTTACAATGGCGGGGGTGCCGGCGACTTTTCTGATGAGGTTGACCAACGGATAATGCCAAACCCGCTGAGTAAGTTGTAGCTGTCCTTTCGTACTCTGTTTTGTGTTCGGCATGACAATGACTGACTTTCCGTCATCAATCTCGAGACTGCCGTTCTAGGTTCCAGGTCTGAACCACGAAAGGGGTCATTTTTTAAACAAAGTTGCGATCTCGTGTTTAGCCAACATGCAACGCACACACTTGGGCGCACACCACTTGTAGACACACCACGGCAGTGGACCTATAACGTCGCATTTAGCGTTCTTTCTTTACGGGTGCACTTTCCCATGGCATTGAAGTGAGATGCAAGCCATCAAGCCCCTACCGGAGAGCACACAACTTGCAAACAAAGCATGATGCCCGTGTCCAACACCTAGTTGTACAAGCAAACCCGTGTGACGTTTGTTATTGTCCCTGCCACTTTTCCAACTCCTCCGCCCACTGGCTTGGACTGGTCGTAGGAGGTTGAGCATTTGCGGAGCTCTTTAAGTTTCTGTCTGGCATTGTAGCAAATATCGCGCTCAGATTCCCCTCCCCAAAAGTGAATATCCATGACAAAATGTACAAATCTAGAGCTGATTTTTTGCGAATGTCATCATTCTTTACCACTTCAGGGCATTTATCAATGTTGATGACGCTGGGGCGGGATATTTATCATTTTTTTTTCTGTTGTCAAAATTCTTTAAAAATTCCTATCTTCATTACTGGACACTTACAAACACATGAAGGCATGTCTGGTGTCCACTCTAGCCATGCTGACAAAATCTATTGATGCCTGAGTATTTCAGCCATGCCTGCAGCCTTGTAAAAAGATTTTGTGGTGTTACGTAATATTCTTTTGTTCACAAACCTGGCTCAGT